TAATCTGGAGAGCGAGCTCCTAAAACAAAAAGAAGAAAACAGTGACGCCACCTTTACAGCATCATGAACAAAAGACTGTCACCCATCTATCATTCACATGTGGATTTTTCTTCAATTAGACTTATTATCTATACATCAGCACAGAGCTGAGAATTGCTGATACACTGCAGATGAGGACATTTGTTAGTCGCTGGGCTCGAGCCTCTCTTAAAAAAAAAAAGATGATCGCACAATATAGATTCCTTGTCTTATTACGTATATTAAGCTGCAATGCCAGCATTTACATTTGCAACATTACATTTTTGCTTTCTTAGACTCAAGAGAGTTTGCTGCATCTGTTAGGCTTCATTTACTCTGTTTCCTATGCAATCATTTCAAAGTATGAACAGATAATATGATTACGGCACAAATGGTTCTCAATTTTGTTTATCTCAGAGATAGTAAGGAACAGTTACTGACCTTACTGTAACACTGGTTCACTGATGTGTTGTCCATGTATATTCCATTGTTGTTGCATATGTTCCCTATGCACTTGAGTTGAGATTTTTTTTCACTAGCTGAGTTTGTTGGGCTAGGTGGCCATGCCTGCACTGTAAGTGTTCTCATGCCTTCAACCAAGGGCATAAAATGGTGCTAACCCAGCTGCTCCTTTATTCCTTTGCCAATACAAAATACAGGCGCTACCAGACTCTTGGTAGCAAGAAAGGAGAATGGGTCACGGACTACATAAGGACATTACATCTTTCAGAACCATGGTTACTGTAAAGTAGTAACCATTGTTTCTTTTTTGAGCGCTTGGCTATTTATATTCCATTGTTGGTGATTCACAAACGGTGACTAAATAATAGGAGGTGGGAAAGATTGAACAAGGATTGTAAAATAGCTCTGCCAAAGTGGGCATCCTATCTTGATGCTTATTCTATGAAGTAGCATTGCAAAAACAAAGGCACAAAAACCCAGGTAACTGCCTATATATTTCTTAATACTGGAGCATTCCTCAAAGAAGCCACTCAAACTCCTGTGGAATAGGCTGTCACTCTGACTGCTCCTGCAGAAATCCAGTTGGAAAGTCTCCATGTTGGTATGACCTGACCTTTCGTCCTTTCCCCATCATCTACAAATAATCCGGGAATGCCCTGAATGGCTTTGTCTTATTCAGGTAGAAGGAAAATGCACTAAGATTATCTAGGGTGTAATTTTAGCCTCACCTCCTTTGCTGGAATGTAGCTTTGAAAAGAAAACAGGCAGAAGTATTATATGTTCAAGATGGAAATCATATTACTTTAGGCAGGAACCTTCAGTGAGATTTCAAGATTATTCTATGAAAAACCATGTATGCCAATCCTGCCATGAAAGTTGATTTTCTCCCTATTTTCCTGGCAGGTGTTATTTCTATTAAAACAGCTATTTTGATGGATAGTGGAAAGAAGGAATAAATTGCTGGCAGTTCAAAAGATGGACCTATTAAACCTATCAGAACAATACTGAGATACCATGGAGATGGAGGCTCTCTCACTATGAGACACACCTGCACAAGGCATTTTGGGAACCTAGCTATCACAGAGCATGGTAAGAGAAGAACACTGCTGAAATGGAGGCATGGCTGGGTCTCCCTGGCAGTGGAGTGGCCTAGTGGTTAGGCCCCAGAATTAGCTGGTGGGAAAGGGATGCAGACCCGTCACTGGTGCCCCGGACCTAGGAACTCCAGCTCACTATGTTAGTAAAGTCCTTGTTTGGAGTGTGGACCCAAAACTCTAGATTTTTCCCTTTTAATGAGGGTTTCAAGCAGGTCCCCCCCACTCTTTATCCTAGGGTGTGTGTGAAATTGGAGGTCCCCTGTGGCTGGTCAAATTGGCAGGTGTTCGTTCAGGTCCTGCTGACTGCAGAACTGTGCTCCTTTCTCCTTGCTGGTCAGCCATTAATTGAGCTAGGCTCCTTCCTTTTATTGTCTCTCCAGGCCTGACATTGGCTTCAGGTCAAGTGAGGTAGGGCTAGCTGGGCCAAAAGGCTTTGTTTAACCTGTGATGCTAGGCCCTCCTTTCTTCACTGCCTATCTCACAGGATGGTTTAACACAGAGAGGGTTGCTAGCTGGACTGTCAGGGAGTTAATTACATAGTCCAGAGTTCTAAAGATAAAAAGTAATCCAGCATACTTCGTATCTAATTTTGAAATGGAGACTATTGGTCATATTGTGCTCAGATAGCAAAGCTCTTCTACTTGGCTGAATAAGAAAGCCTTGTTGTATAGAACATTCAACCTTCTCGTTCATCATAACAGGTCCTCTGTACGGATGTTAACCAGCCTGCATCTGTGCTGGAAAATGCAGGGAAAGTGAATCTGTCCATATCTTTGAGATCTCATGTCTGGCTAAAGAGACAATTGGATTGAAGGTTGGCTGGAGAGATCCATCATGTCCAAGAACTGAAACTGCTTGGACCAGGCTTGAGTTACCATGATCATCCTTATCAGAATCCTGAGTTTCTTGAGAGCCTTGGGATGAATGGAATTGGAGAGTAAGCATATATTAGGCCTTGGGGAGTAGGGGATAAGGAATATGTCAGGACAGGCATCCCTGATTCTGCCCTTCTTTAGAGCAGAACTTGTGGAACTTCTTGTTATCTTGCTATGTCAACAATAACAGCAGCATTATTTTGGAATAACAAAATAACATAGTCTGCATCTACACACAAGTAGTTATTTTAACATAATGTTGAAATATTGTTGAGCTGGAAGACTGCTTACTCCAACTCCAGTCACCCACATTGTACAAGGAGTAAGGGATGTTGGAGGAAGAGTGCTCTGTTTTGAAATGAGTGCTGTGTAGATGTTCCCAAATTCAAAATATGCTATTTTGACTTAAGCTATGCAATTAGCGTAGCTCAAGTTGCGTGGCTTATTTTGAGTTTAGCCCTGCTGTGTATACATACCCTTAGATGCCAAAGATGTCCATGACTGGATGACTCCATCTGAGGAGTACATCTTGAACAAAGAAAGATATGCTTTACTCAGTACTCATGGTCTGCTGAGGTGGTCCACCATTTTGCAAGACTGGCAGTAGTAGAAATATGGAAATAATCGTTACAGATACAGTAGTTCCATACAGTCACAGCTCGGGCCACAGAGGGGTGGGTCTCGCTTCCATTTGTTTATATAAAATAAGGGCATACTATCCATTATTCTCTGAGGATGTGTCTAGACTACAGGGTTTTTTCGAAATAAGTGGCCTTTTTTTAAAAAAACTTTACCTGCGTCTAGACTGCTGCTGCATCAACAGTAAATCGAAGGAATGCAGCAGTTTTGTTGATGGCAGTAAACCTTGTTTTACGAGGAAGAACGCCTTTTCAACAGACACCTGTCAAAAACAGGTGCGTGTGGACGCAGGGGAGGCTGTTCTGTCAAAAAAAAAAGGGGGGGTTGGGGTGGGGGGTCTCCAGGAAGAAGCCCTGGTAGACAGTCTATCCTTACATGCTGAGCACCTCTATTGTTTCTGTCCACAGTCTCTTAAGGGCACAGGCACCCAGACAGGCATTGTTGTCAGGAAACCAGCCAGAGCACCCATGCCAGCCGTGCTAGCCATGTCCCAGCCTCAAGAACCCCCTGGCCCTTCTCGGGACAGTGAAGAGGACCCATGCAAGGGCTCCAAAAGGCTGGCACCAGCCTGGTCAGGGCTTGAAATAAAAAATCTCTTGGAGCTCTGGTCTCAGGAGGAATCCTTGCAGGCCCTGCACTCATGCCTTGTTAATGTGGACATATAAGAGTGCATGGCCGAAGAAACGGCATCACTCTTGAACCCTGGACCAAGTGAGGGCCAAGATGAAAGAACTGCAGCAGGAGTATGCAAAGGCCCAAGAACAGAGCTCCCGTTCTGGGGCAGCCCCACAGAGATGCCCATATTATGCAGACCTGGAACAGACTCTGGGCGGTGGGGAAGCCCAGACTCTGCTGCGTCTTGTGGAGTCCAGGTTACCCCACCATATTGTGGACCAACCCCTGAGGGAGGACGAGCAGGAAGGAGGGACAGGAGAGCTGCACCAGGAGGAGGAGGAGGAATAGACAGCAGCAACCCTATCCCAGGAGCCGGTCCTCCAGACCCCAGAGGCCTCCCAGGTGCCTCCCAGGCATCCTCAGATATCGGGGAGGTAACATCAGGTGAGTGCTTTGAGGGGTGATCACACATGGCCAGGCTGGCAGTGTGGGGGGCCATCTGGTCCCATTGCCACTGTGGGGCCCCTTGTGACGCTCAGGCTGCTGTCCAACTCACACACAGTGTCACGTGTAAAACCTCTGAGTCTCCTGTCCAAATCACACATGGCCAGGCTGGCAGTGTGGGGGGCCATCTGGTCCCATTGCCACTGTGGGGCCCCTTGTGACGCTCAGGCTGCTGTCCAACTCACACACAGTGTCACGTGTAAAACCTCTGAGTCTCCTGTCCAAAGCAGAGCCCCTTACAGCAACGACATGCCCTCAGGGACAGTGGATGCGCACACACACGATTGTCTCTTCCTCTTTTCCTCCACAGCCAAACCCCCCATGCAAGAGGGGAGCACTACACCAGTCCCACCACCATACTGGACACGTGGCACCCACAGGCACTGGCATGCCTATGTGGATTTGCTGAAAGAGCATGTAGTGGCCCTGCAGGACCTCAACAGGACTCTTCAGCAGAGGCCGGAAGCAGAGGCTGAGTGGTGCAACAGGCTGCTGGATGAGCTGGTCCAACACCGCATTTCAATCTGTGCCACTATGCCCCGCCCCCCCAACTTTCCTTCTTCCCTCAGCTCCTCCTGAGCCCTCACAGACTCAACAGCTCCGCCCCCCCACCCAGCCCAGGACTGACTCTTGCTCCACCCAACCCCCAGGCGGTGCAAGGATGCAAGGTGACAGAACCCTGTGATCAGGGAAGCAGCGGCATACTTGAGCCCCCCCTTCAGGTTTTCAGCCCCCTACCACCACAGTGAAAGAAAATTTCAGTTATGTAACAACATCTTTATTTGTGAGTGAAAGATGTAGCTTGTATATAAACATTTGAACAATAAAAAGAGATTTTTTTTTAAGGAGTTAGCACATTTTCCTTACTGATATTGTTTCTAATAAACACCTGGTTTTCTTTGTAAACAGACACTGGTTTTTTATGTATTCTTTATGGGAAGAGAATGAGGGTGAGGGTTGTGGAGGGAAAGATATGAGTGGGCCAGGCCGGAAGGCCCTGGGGAGAGTCACTGGGCTCCCTTCAGAGAATCTCTCCCTCAAGGCTTCTCGGATGCCAAGACCAGACTAGTGAGCCTGGCGGATGGCAGCTGTCCAGGGCTGCTCAAATTGCCTCCCCTTGCCATCACCACCTGTCCCCCACTCTGGCAGGAAGGCCTCCCCTTTTCTCTTCACAAGGTTATGGAGCACGCAACATGTGGACACCACCTTGGAGATGTTGCATTTGCCCATCTCCAGCTGTGTGAGGAGGCAACGAAACCTCCCTTTCAAGAGGCTGAACACGCATTCCACCTGCATGCAAGCCTGGCTAAGATGCATGTTAAATAGCTCCTTGCTTGTATCGAGGTGGCCGGTGTAGGGCTTCATAAGCCACGGCATCAGGGGGTAGGCCGTGTTGACCACGATGCGCACCAGCATCTGCACGTCCCCAAGTGCGAGATCCTGCTGTGGGAAAAATGCCATAGGGCCCCCAGCTCTGTGCTAATTGGGCTGCAAGTATCCATAGGCTGCAGATTGAGAACCACTGGTCTTGCTGGAATAAAACCTCTAGCTCTCCTCTGTTGTGTGCTGGCCTATTCGTACCCAGAGAAATTGTGTCACCTCCCCATTATTATCAAAGCCTGAGGAAGAAGGATACCCCCTACCACAGGTGTGAAGTCATTTTATCTGAAGATTTGTGTTCAGGCATTATGACAAATCCCAGTATCAAGGTAGTATCCCAGGTAAAGAAAAAAGTTAATTTTAGATGTGTTCCTATCTATAACATAATGGACAGATAGTGCAAGTGCAAGTACCAACTCATAGCACAAACGTTAAGTGGTGGGGATCATCCTGACCCTTTATACATTTGGTTGAAGGAATAGCTTGGCTGAAGGTGTAGGCTTGCCCTCCAATTGACACAGCATACGCCAACAATAAAGGATGTAGTTAAGCACTTAAAGAATTTGCTTGATCCTCTGAAATTATATTTATAGCAACTAGATGACAATATTTAAGGCTGAAAAGAAATATTAAAAAGTTTATGTATTTTCCTCCTGATCATTTAAAGTAAGACATTACAGGCAATCTTAGTACACAATTAATGAGACCTGTCAAACATTCAAGAACATAATTAGCACAAGTTATTACATGGTAAAGTGGAACTAAAGAACTGCATCTCACATATTCGAGGAAACAACCCTAGCCCACTCAGTTTTTTTTGAGCAGTTGAGAGAGGCCCCCGTTTTCCTTCTTCCTTCATGTGAAGAGTGCAGTTGCCTAAAATCTCTGCATGATCATCAGGTTAAAGGTCAGTTCACTCTGTCCTATGAATTTTATTGCTAGGTGCAGCACAACAAAGTTTTTTTCCCTCTCCCCACACAGTTACACTGAAAAATTGTCTTGGAAGGCAGCCATTGCCAGCTTATTGTTCTCACCCTGCCTCCATTCTACCACCACCTTCTAGTGGGGAAGCCCAGACTCCGCTGCCTCCATTCTACCACCACCTTCTAGTAGCAGTGCTGTGAAATTCTGGCCACTTCCAAGGAGTGGCATATTCCATGGTCTTGAAGGGATCCTGTCCATAACTGATTATTACAAAGGACATATAGAAAGTTAGTAATTGAAGGAAGCATAATTGTAATGTACATTATTTACTTTATAATAGATACAGGAAAATAGTGGTCAATAACTTTATAATCTTCCTTTAAATGCATTAACGTTACGTTAAATCATTTGGTTCATTTTTTGTATAGAACTAGCTTTGAATTGCAAGTGAGCAACACATAGCTTTGGTATTTTTTTCTATTAATAGCTTAAAAATACATTGGCATTTGGATTATTTAAATCAAATTTGAAGTTATTATTAAATTACTCATAACATATGGCCTCAATAATGTACACTCTAAATTAAGATGCAACATGACATAACAAGTGAGAATGAAAAAACGGGGCAAGGAGGTAAGCAATAATATCATGGAGGTTTTTAGTTTAAGGGGCATGGATTTGACTGCAGAGAAGGTACTGGACCTTCCAGTCATAGGGATTAGTGTTAAGGAAAAGACAAGAGTCATGAAGATGCCTGTGGAAGAAATGGACAAATGTGGCATCAATCCAGGTGCTATTAGCAAAGTAGGGGGCTCTGTTTTGGCTGACAGAATTCAACAATTTATGAGCCCTGGTTTGTATAAGAGCATTTTTACACTGGTACTTACAAATCATGACTGTTAACTTACTTGTTTACAATCTAACTTGAGGATGGAACTATTGCAGCATTTAAACAGTGATCATATGTTAAATTAAAAATATGCAAAGTCATCTCAGACTGTGAAACCATATAATGAAGTGAGAGAGAATGAACATACGCATGTGCATGTGTGTGTTTTTCTCTACAGGTCAAGCACAACATGCACACACGCCTCCATTTCTTTCTCCTGGAGTCAGTTCCCTGAGAGTCATCACAGTCATTCCTCCTCTATTTCAGGATCTTCGTACAACTCCTTCACCCTCTTCCTTATGTGCATCCCTGTGTGCATCCCCATTGTTCTGGTCTATGTGCTTCCCTGCAAACCTCCCTCTCCAACACCATTCACCATGAGCCAGGTCCTTGCTCCACCTCCCCATATTTACAGCCCACCCCAACTTCCCATCTATAGCCCTGCTTTCTCCTCTTGCCCATCTCCATTCTGAGCTCCTGCTTCCCCCATTACCACTATTCCCATGCAGATGCCTGCTTCCTGTACCACCAGCATCATTCATCCCTAATCCTCTTTGAGTCCCTGCTTCCTTCCCCCATCACCCTTTCCTCTGCTTCTGGGTCCCTGCTTCACCTGTCATGACTGCCTCATCCCTCTGGTCTCTGCTGCATTCCTTCATCCTTGTCACCGTCTCTTTCCAGGTCCCGACTCCTCCCTCCATACATGCTGCTCTCCCCCTCCATATGCCCACTTTCCTCCCTACAAATCATCCATTTAAAACTCTTATTTCTTTAGCGTGCAGGCTACAGTCTCCTCAGTCAGTTAAGCTGCTGCCTCCACTAAGTACTGGGGGGAACAGAGATTCTCATGGCACCAAGCACTCTGAGGCCCCGGTTTTCCTTTCAATCAGGCTCTTCTGATGTTCTGATTTCCATCAGAACCACAGAAGTATGCCCATGGATGCCAAAAACATTCCTTTATTTTTAAAGTCGATCAGATGTGGCATGACGAAAGTTATTACAGAGAAATGCCATTCAGTTGAGACTTAAATCTTTCTCCATTCAGCCAATAAAGGACTTGGCATAGCTTTAATAAAACTGCCACTCTGCATACAGCCAATGAATCCTATTTTTTTTAATAAAAATGTTTACAGGCCTAAATCAACAAGTCAACAAAGCCCTGGCAAAGAACATGTCCAAATACAAGGCTGCTGTTTGCAACTTTGCAACTTACTACCAGGAAAGTGACCCAGAGTAACCACCTCTCACCACTGTATCCCATCCTCACATTTGAAGTTTTCATTTAATAATCTCTCTCCTCCTCATCCCCGCCATAAAGAGATGGAGCAGGAGATATCTGTGAATGCAGTCAAAAGCAAACACACACACACACACACACACGCACGCACCCCCCAGGCATTTTGCTGAATAAAAAAAAAGAAGACTGCTTGCTGAATGAACACCTACAGCAAAATCAGAAGGGATGCAAACACCGCTCAAGTAAATTCAATTTAAAATATTAATATTCACTGAAATTCTCTTCAGATATTTGTCCAACTCCAGTCACAAGGGATCAATTCATTTCTAGACAAAGACCCAGCTCAAGGATCTTCATACCATTTGAGTACATTAAGTGGGTTTTAAGAGGCACAAAAGTCTTGTGTCTTGCTTTCTGTGTAGAAGAGAATGTCAATTTTTTAAAATCTGAATTTTCCATTCCCTATATTGCCTATTCCACAATGTAAATTGGATACAAACCTCATATGTTCCAAGCCCTCCTTCAAAAAAACCTCAACCACCACTGTGTGTGTTCCAAAATCTACATCTCATTCTAGTCTTCAGTCTCTCCCACACTTGTATCTTTAATACAGTTATCAATTTCAGGTACATCTTTTCCACAGCTCTTCTCTTTTCTAAAATTCTTCATACATTTCTCCAGTCTTTTTAAGAACAGGTCTACGTCTTGCTTTTTCATTCCAATTGCTGAGGCAGCATTGAGGTAAGCACAGGGATAGTTATTTGTATGTGACATAAAGCCTTTGAAAGTGTAGTTATTCACTGTTTGTGAAGCCCCAAGGGGAACCACCCTGAAACAATAAGAGCACAATTTAAAATGCTGTTTACAAGAACACCACCATTCTGAAATAATTTACAAGCATTTCCACACATAACAATACTGTACCTGTAAATTATAAACAAATGGTTCATTTCATATACTTTTACACACAATTATTAAAGAACATTAAAATCAAGAACTACACAAAAAACAGCATAGGCACCAGTAAGGACTGGAACTTTGAAACTTGATGAAAACATAAAGTTAGATGGTATCTATAGAGATCAATCTACTCAAAGAGGACTGTAGTGCCAGGACAAGTAAAAGTTATTAGGCCAAACAAAAAAACACCCCATCTAACTGCTGTGCATACAGGATTTACTGTAGTTCATCTATGTAAGAAGTAGAATAATTCAAGCTAATGAAGCATATCTTCCAATGTGAAAATACTCAGCTCAGCTAGAGAAAATGACATTAACTGTAGCACAAGTTAGTTGACAGCAGCAATATTCAGATTAAGGAATTCTGCCAAAACAAGTCTTAGATCATACTCTTCTAAAAGGTTCAAAGTGAAATCATTAGAAATTATTTGGCCTGTGTTACCCTTGTCACACACTGGTATTTCTAAGATTATGATTTTTCCACCTACACAGGCTCAAGTTAGTTCTGGAAAATAAGATTTTTTTTCACGCTACAAAAAGCAACAAATAACATTACAGATAATACAGTAAAACTCCATTAGTCTGGCATCCAATGCTCCGGCACTCCTGATGGTCTGGCACCATCAGGAACCCGGAAGTGCTCGGGGCAGCCTGACAATTGGAGCTGCTCTGCACCCAGCTTCCCCGATTCAGCCGCTGCTGAAACTGACCAGCAGCTGAATCGGGGATGTCAGGGGCAGAGCAGCTGGGGTGCTGCCGGGTTGGTCCAGTAGCGCCGCCACCGCTCGGGGCTGCGGGACCAACCCGGCAGCACCTCGGCTGCTCTGTCCCAGGCATCCCCAAGAGCAGCTGGGGTGCTGCTGGGTTTGTCTTGCAGCACCGAGGGGCAGTGCTATGGAACCAACCCGGTAGCACCCCAGCTGCTCTGCCGCAGGTATCCCCGATTCAACCACTGCTGAAACTGACCAGCAGCGGCTGAATCAGGGACGCCTGGGGCAGAGCCGGACTATCGGAAGGGAGGGCTATGAGAGGCCTGGGGTGGCATTCCCCCCACCCCAGATCCCTCATAGCATCCCCTTCTGATAGTCCGGCATATTTGATAATCCGGCACCCCCTGGGTCCTAAAGGTGCCGGATAATCGGAAGTTTACTGTAATGTGTTTCCCAGGTATCTGGCACAAAATGAGTTTATAAAATACAGCTGAAGTCATACAGTAATGTCTTCCACAACTAGTGAAAGATGTATTATTATGGAGATATTTAAGAGTAGGTTGGATAGACATCTATCAGGTATGATCTAGACAGTGCTTGGCCCTGCTAAGAAGGCAGGAAACTGAACTCAATGACCTTTCAAGGTTCTTCCAATTCTATGATTCTAAGATTATTGATTTGCACAGTGGTATCTCAGCTACAAGGCCCTAATTAGGAATCAGGACCACGTTATGCTAAGCACCACTGCCACACAACAAAAAACAATGAAGAATTTAGGGCAAGGACATTTTTAAGATTAGTGCTATTAGGTGCTACAGCAAACAGAGAGGTAGCACAATGTAACATAGTAATCAGCATAATAATCAGTGGTCATATCATAGTATACCAATTGTCTAGCCAACATCTAGTATTCTTCAGGGATTCTAATAGTGGCAAGTTTTAAGGAGAAGTTTGACAGTCATTATGTAGTTAGTGGTTCAACAGATTTTTACAGGGAGTTCCTTGCATGCATAAGGACACATGGGAGAAAGAAAAAAAAAAAAAAAAAAAAAAAAAAAAAAAAAACAGGAAAACAACTTGTGGGAAAGCTTAACTAATGGACAGCATCAGAATGAAGGATGCATTCTCTAACTCTTTACAACATGCTTCAGATGTGCACCAGAGATACCTGTGAACACATACCTTGGTTAGTTTGCAAAGTCCTAAGAAACCTAACAGTACAGCAAGTTTTAATGAATATGAGAAATGCTTAAAATCTCTCAGATGCTCACCTTGCTCCTGAAACTTGTCTTGTGAAAAGCATAGATCCAAGCTGAGTGACAGTCATGTCACTGTGTTTATCTAGGTTTTCTAGTGTCATAGCTGAAAACATAAATAAGCTGTTTCAATCACTGTAACAAAGCTTGTTGGTTACCAGAAAAGACCCATTGTAAGTTTTTATCTAACAGCGACCCAAGTATTTGGATTAAAACTAAGATGAACGTTCCTGAAAATATATTTAATTCAATTCAATTCAATTTTCCCCTAAATATATCCCTTCATTATCTGATTAGACTGTTTATACAGTTGAGATATTGTGTGGGGGAGAAGTTCCAGTTTTCTATGTTCAGCCGAGTTACTGCTTACAATGAAAACCTTAAGCAAATAAAGAGTCTCAATAACAGACCATTTTACTGAAGTTCAGCACCAACCAGTTGTGGATGAAATAATTATTTTAAATAGTATAAAATAAATGATAACTTATTTATAATGTAGTATTAAATGCTAACATGTCAATCTTTTTTACCCTCATGATCAAATGAAGCATATTTTAATTAGAAGCAGTTGGGTGTACACAGAGACTATCTACACACACACAGAGAGGGCACGGAGTCACTAATGCACTACTTCACTTTTAGGCAGATGTAATTTCACTGATTTCAGTGGACTCGTATTGGCATGAGATTAATGGAACGGATAAGTGAACCATATATAACAGCAATGGGCAAGCAAGGCTAGTGAGTGAGCCGCATGAGTGGCCCACCTTCATTTCAGTCAGCTGCAACATTATTGTAACAAGACAGTCTTCTGGGATAGGGTAATTTTGCTAAGTGCACTTAAATACCTACAATTTGCTGTATGTGCTGATTGAACTGTAGCAGCGCTTTGATTGGATAATGAGGGAATGCACAACTCTTCCAGTCAATGTTGTGTGCAATCAGAACGCATCTCAGATTCTCTGTTCTGCCTTTACATGCATGTCACTTTAGAAATAAGTGTGTGGGGGGGGGGGAACTACTCAAACAGAAACCAGCAGAACTTGGCAATCTTGCACATGGGTAATGGTAACCAAAATATCTTAAGGGCCACACACAGAACCCTAACTGACTGCATGCGGCCCTCCAACTGATATACAAGTTCATCTTGTGTGTGAAAGCATATTGAAAATATAGAAGATTTCAGAAGTGCTGGCTTATTTGAAAGCTGAATAGTAATTACCTAAGGAAATAGGGTTGTGTGGTGTGACTAACAGCCTCTCATTGTAGACTTCTGCTAGCTTCTTCAGCTGACTTGAAAGGTAGGAAAACATTTCCTGGGGGAGAAAAAAAAAGCAATTTTCAACCAATTTTCTTTTTTCTCCGTTGAATAGTTAAATATCATTTTCAGAAAGTTGTCAGCCTCCAGAATATATCATCGGTCCTTAGTTCATGTTTTAAGTAAGGATGTTAAAATGCAGGTAATTGTGTAAATGTGAACAGCTGAAAAAAACCCTCAGTGGTTACATGTACTTGCAGCCAGTTCCCTGGGAACCAGTGTGTGCCACTCCTGGGAAGCTGACTGCCACCTCACACTTCTGCTTCTGTATCAGAGGCAGCAGCGCAGGGTAGCAGCCAGCTTCCCAGGAGCAGGGCAGAAGCTTGCATGTAACCATGAATGTTAACTGATAAGCCCAGGTTTATTGGTTAATGGTTTACAGTTACATGTTCACATGCCTAGTTTTAAGCATCAGCTATTTATTTGAGTTAACGGATCAGACCCTACCCTTGAGCTGTGTCTGGAAGCCCCTTGCTGTGTAGATCTCTCTCCATATGGGGGAAGGCAGGGAAGAGTGCTCAGTTGCCTCCATATCATTGTTTTACCTTCCTGACCAGATGAAGCAACTCCATCTGGGCCAACTTTGGTTCTGAAGAATTTACACAGAAAAGGTGATCTATCCTTGAGGAGATGATTGTAGAAAGGCCCCTCCTAGGACCGTACTGTGCAAAGAGGCACTTCCAAACACAGCAGACCACCTGTACTCCCACATCATCTCTGATCTAAACTGCTCACCACCACAGGGCAGTCACTGCCAAAAAGCCAGTGAGCTAGAGAGAAGCTGCCAAGGCTAATGCTGGTGCAGGATTGCAGCCAGTTTGCTATGTTTTTGGGCAAGAGATTTACTATAGTTCAGAAAAACCTGTTCTCCCCAACAAGATGCTGTGGGGGAAATTGTCTCAAGGAAATCCTTGCAGAAATAACACACAAAGCCATTTTCTATGGTCTTTACCAGGGCAGGGGACAAACTGGATCAGTGACAACAATGCAGCTAGAAAGTTGAGATATTTTTCCTCAATGTATCTTTTGTATTTCTTGGCAAATACTATATTTTACGTTTATTTAATGTCCAGCCTCCTGAAGGAGCTCGGAACACTTCAAATGTACAGAACACATAGCACCACTGGAACTGGGGATGGCAACCAATCAGTGCATAACTCTAGATGTCAACAAGATGGGGTGAGGAAACGAGAGGAAAATTTTGGCCCCACTACACCAGGACAAACCTCTATTCTTACAAAAGTCTTATGGGATCCTTCATATCCAGACAGGATTATAGCTGGCTACTCAAAATATAAGAAGCCGAACCTTCTGAGAAACATGATAATATCTTTGAGCACAAATTCTATTAATAAAGAATCCACTTTTCAAAAATGTGACCCTACATGATACCATGGAAAACAGAGGAACGTTAACATTCCTTTTGTTCATCTTTTTAGCTTCCCAACACAACACTAAAAGAAGCACATTTTGTTCCCATCGATGTCTGACAAGAAAACATCCTTGTTTCTTACCAGCTGAAACAGTTTTGTGATGAGTCAGACTATTTCTACTGGTTAGCATCAAAGATTTGAGTGCAAAAAGACTATTGCAACATTAACTGTTAACCAATCAGAACAGATGTCAATCTTTTTTTTTAATTGATTTAAAGGTAAATAGTTGGTAGGAATCCAGTTGTCCAAAGTGAGGTGAACACCGTTTTACTTTCCCTGATGCTTGCACTGTTTAATCTGGAACAGTTTTAGTGTAGGAAAAAAGTGCAGTTTGGTATCTGTCAGTAGAGAGCTACAACTGCCACCAGCTCCTAGAAGAATACCTCTTTTTCTGCCTACGGACAATAGGTCAGCATATGACCTGCCTTTACATTAAGCAAGAGAGTACTGGTATGGGTATGAATGTATTTTGTGCCATACATTACATTCTCCTCCACAGTCAGCTATGCTATACAATGCAGATAGTTCCCCTTCCATGTCCTCCTTCTGGGACAAGTAACTGGTCATAGTGCAGCTGCTGCTCAAGCTTTTTAGACATCATAGATGGGTGCCAAAACAAAAGTTCAGATGTAATTTCATCAGATAATCCCTTTATTAAAAAGAAAGCCAGAAGCAGAGATGCCTACATGAATTGCCTAGCTTTACTGGCTAATGCATATACGGCATCATGAGAGCACATCTTACAGCTGCTTCAGGTCTTCACCAGCTAAACAATTCAGTGTTAGTTATGCCTTCCTTACACGTCAGCATAGAACATATATGGATAAGACTTACAACAAACACCACTCTTCCCAACACTCCCAATGTACTCTTGAGTTATCATTTTCAACACTTCACATAGCATCAGAGGTGTGTGGGAGTGCCGATGGCAAATAGGTTTTAAGTTTGGTAACCTCATTCCTGGTTGTCAAGTATCAGCTCATTTCCCCTCCTGACTACAAAGATTTTGTTGATCATTCACTTCAGTACAACTGCCCACTTGCTACTCATGTTCATCACTTTAGAATCCTCATCAATTTTAGGACCTGAGAAAGAATCTTCCTTGCTACAGACAACATCATCAGAATCCTCCATGAGTGGACCATCATCCTTCCCTCTGATATGTACCTCTTTGACTGGAACCACTTAGATCTGGTGAACTGAAGATAACTTTTTAGGTAGCATCTCAGATTTTACAGAACAAACTGGGTCAGTGAGCAGTTCTGAGAAATGTGAACACCTTTTCCTGGGCCACTACAATTAACTGAATTGCAACCTCCGTCTTACAGAAATCAAGTGAAAATGGCTCTTCTGAGCGGACCCCTGAATCACGTGAGGAATTCAATTCAGATACACAGAAATAGTGTCAAGGGCACCCACCTAAATGAATCAAGCTACCTTTAAGTTCACTGACCACTACAACATGAAGCTTTTGAGATATCTAGTTACAGCAAAATAAACAAACTTGCAAGAAGCTACTATGGACAGTGAGGAGGAATAGAAACTTGTGGCATACCACTCCTGCTTTGCACTAGCACTTTGAAATCAAACCCAACACTTCTTTGGTTTGAAGACAACAGTTTGCACATTTTGCAGTTGGCTTTAATTATAATATCTTCTTAGAAGCTTAAAAGTAATATTTGTTCTCACAGCCAGGTACTTTTTTTTTTGCTCATATTAGAAGACAAAAGCTATATTCATTTGCTATTCTCTTTCTTGTCACAATAAGCATCACTAATGTGCTCATTTATAATATCTGTATTATTGCCATAATCTGGTTTGTTAATTACGTTGTACTCCCTCTACTAGCTATTTAATTCTGCAGCAGCATACAATACTATTGCAGGGGAATGTATTTACAATGGCTATTCTTAGAATACATTTTATTAAGGAGACTGGTGATGGAAGAAAGTTATATTAGAACAATTAAGACATTTCCCAACAATTTAACACTGTAAGCATGTCTCCTTTGGGGACTTCTCTATAGTGTAGTACATTTGAAAAAGTCCTTAACTTCCAATTTATGTAATTGGGTTCTTAACCTAGCTATTCAGAAGAGTAAATTTTCCTCATTTATTATTAGATATCTACACCATTAAATTAGTCCAGAATTGCTACTTGCATGTGAAGGGACTGGATGAAACAAGGGAGAATGAAAAGGTAGGAAAGGAAACCTGAGTACATGCATTTTCATAAAACTGACTTTAAACCTCTGTATACAGATTTAAATGATTTCCGGTCTGTGTAAAATAGCATGCTCTGCACCTTAGAATTTTTATTTTCCATTTAACTACATCTAGATAATCTATAAAAAGTTAGCCTTTTCAGATTTAGCAATTTTTTTGGGGGGGAGGGGGAGGGAAGGGGAGGAAGGGTGTCACATCTATAGTTGACCTCTATTATAAAACCGCTTTCTGCTGCGTGGAAAATTTATAAGTACCCTAAATAAATATATACAATGAGCTCCTATTTAAAAGAAATGTAGCTGAATACAATTGATTTTTTATGTGATAGCCACTATAACTCAGTTTTTAAAAGACTTATCATACTAAAATGTGTATTGAACTACCTACACAGTAAATGTCAGCTAAATTGCTATGGGGAAAACGAGAGAATGAAAATGTGAAATAACCATACCACAAAACTTTAGCTAGCTATTAATGTAAATGTTATATGAAAATGTGCTGCACTTCCTCTGGCATTCTAGTTTGATTTCTAAACCCTAAAACAAAGAAATATAAGGGAAAACGGGAAATTCAGTTAATCCTAGGGGCTGCATATATTGAAAGTGCCAAATGACATGGTCATGATAGACATAATGGCAAGCTTCACAGAAGTATACAAAACAATCAAGAAACTTATTTTTGCTTACAACTTCAAATCAGTGTTGTTCTGGAGCCAGTTTTGGTAACGTGAATAAAAGGGGCAAGTTTCTCATCTGCTATTAGTACAGCTCCACTGAAATCAGATCTGGCTTGAGGTTTCATATTAGTTAGATCACAAAATGTGAAGAAGTGATACAAAAATCCAGATTATGAATATCATAGGAAAGTCTTTAAAAATGGGATTTATGGTTTCTATTAATAAATCCATCTACTACAATATATACAGTTCAATGCAGATATTCATACTACATGACACCCCCCCATTTTTGGGAGGAAAATTATTTTAGTGGCCATGAATAATTTTGGAATCTTCACATTTTAATGCAGAATTTTTATCTAGAAATAGGTTCTCATGAGTAGCTGAATCATACGACATATTTTTAGTCTACAAGTCTAGTTTTGAGAAGCAATACCAGACTCAAAGGTCTTTTCATCTCTCATGACACAGTGGGTTTAAAAATTATTTGCACTAGATTATGGTAATACTTACAGGTTCCACTGTGCTGGGCCCTGTACTCATCTCTCTCTCTCTCTCTCTCTCTCTCTCCCCCCTTCCCTTCTCCCACAAAAAAAATTATTGTGGGACAACAGAGTGATGTTATCATATCGCTCTGTGTCCCGCTGCCCCTCTGCCCTCAGCC